TCCTCGGTATTCCTGTAACACCGCACGTAACACCGACCGTCCTCGGTATTCCTGTAACACCACACGTAACACCGACCGTCCTCGGTATTCCTGTAACACCGCACGTAACACCGACCTTCCTCGGTATTCCTGTAACACCACACGTAACACCGACCGTCCTCGGTATTCCAGTAACACCACACGTAACACCGACCTTCCTCGGTATTCCTGTAACACCACACGTAACACCGACCGTCCTCGGTATTCCTGTAACACCACACGTAACACCGACCGTCCTCGGTATTCCTGTAACACCACACGTAACACCGACCTTCCTCGGTATTCCTGTAACACCACACGTAACACCGACCTTCCTCGGTATTCCTGTAACACCACACGTAACACCGAACGTCCTCGGTATTCCTGTAACACCACACGTAACACCGACCTTCCTCGGTATTCCTGTAACACCACACGTAACACCGACCGTCCTCGGTATTCCTGTAACACTGCACGTAACACCGACCGTCCTCGGTATTCCTGTAACACTGCACGTAACACCGACCGTCCTCGGTATTCCTGTAACACTGCACGTAACACCGACCGTCCTCGGTATTCCTGTAACACTGCACGTAACACCGACCGTCCTCGGTATTCCTGTAACACCACAGTAACACCGACCTTCCTCGGTATTCCTGTAACACCACAGTAACACCGACCTTCCTCGGTATTCCTGTAACACCACACGTAACACCGACCGTCCTCGGTATTCCTGTAACACCGCACGTAACACCGACCTTCCTCGGTATTCCTGTAACACCGCAGTAACACCGACCTTCCTCGGTATTCCTGTAACACCACACGTAACACCGACCTTCCTCGGTATTCCTGTAACACCACACGTAACACCGACCTTCCTCGGTATTCCTGTAACACCACACGTAACACCGACCTTCCTCGGTATTCGTGTAACACCACACTTAACACCGACCTTCCTCGGTATTCCTGTAACACCGCAGTAACACCGACCTTCCTCGGTATTCCTGTAACACCACACGTAACACCGACCTTCCTCGGTATTCCATGAACACCGCAGTAACACCGACCTTCCTCGGTATTCCTGTAACACCGCAGTAACACCGACCTTCCTCGGTATTCCTGTAACACCACACGTAACACCGACCTTCCTCGGTATTCCTGTAACACCACACGTAACACCGACCTTCCTCGGTATTCCTGTAACACCACACGTAACACCGACCTTCCTCGGTATTCCTGTAACACCGCAGTAACACCGACCTTCCTCGGTATTCCTGTAACACCGCAGTAACACCGACCTTCCTCGGTATTCCTGTAACACCACACGTAACACCGACCTTCCTCGGTATTCCTGTAACACCACACGTAACACCGACCTTCCTCGGTATTCCTGTAACACCACACGTAACACCGACCGTCCTCGGTATTCCTGTAACACCACACGTAACACCGACCGTCCTCGGTATTCCTGTAACACCACACGTAACACCGACCGTCCTCGGTATTCCTGTAACACCACACGTAACACCGACCGTCCTCGGTATTCCTGTAACACCACACGTAACACCGACCGTCCTCGGTATTCCTGTAACACCACACGTAACACCGACCTTCTTCGGTATTCCTGTAACACCACACGTAACACCGACCTTCCTCGGTATTCCTGTAACACCACACGTAACACCGACCTTCCTCGGTATTCCTGTAACACCGCACGTAACACCGACCTTCCTCGGTATTCCTGTAACACCACACGTAACACCGACCGTCCTCGGTATTCCTGTAACACCGCAGTAACACCGACCGTCCTCGGTATTTACAACAATAATAGCCATTATTCCCAGACCAAAATTAACGTCAGGAAATTTTCTACGATATGAAATTTGACCTCGAATTAATTTTTCTCAGTTGAACAAAGTTGTACTCGGTTCTTATTTAATTGTATTTGTATTCAGCTCTTAATTGTATTTGTACTCAGCTCTTAATTGTACACAAATAACCCGCAGATAGAAAAGAGGAGCTTACGACGACGTTTCGGATCGACTCAGACCGAAACGTCGTCGTAAGTTCCTCTCCAAGTGCGGGTTATTTGTGTATAGTTCCAGTCACGGTATTGTGCCTTTTTGTTATTCGTAATTGTATTTGTACTCAGTTCTCGCTTAATTATACTTAGTTGTACTCATTTATTTCTTAGTTGTTCTCTATTTTCACTAAGTTATACTCATTTAGTTATACAAAGTTATACTAAGTTGTACTCTCTCTGTTGTACTCGCTTAACTGTATTAAACTATACAGAGTTGTACTCAAATGTACATATTTGCACTTAGTGTCACTAGCTTAGTACTTGTACTCATTTGTACTCAACATTTCTACTCACCTAGATGTACTGTCTCTGTACTCAACAAATTGTACTTAAGTAGTTCTACTCACCCGGTTATACTCACCTATTTGCGTTCTCGCAATTGTATTTACCTAGTTGTATTCACTTTGTATTCAGTTGGACTCATGTGATTGTACTCATTTGCACTTATAAGGTATAATAATTTAGTTGTACTCATTTAATTCTCGTCTATTATCCCTATTTGCACTTGCCTACTTGTACTCAGTTACACTTACGTACATGTACTCAGTCTCACTCATGTACTTGTACTCAGTTTCACTCACGTGGTTGTACTCTTTCACTCACGTAGTTGTACTCAGTTTCACTCACGTAGTAGAACTCAGTTGCACTCAGTTGTACTCAACTAGTTGTACTCATACAGGGTGCTTGGCTGGTTAGTCGTCTCTCACAAGGTTTTAAACATGGGTTCACTTCAGTGAACGGCTGTGATTCGAACCCTTGACAAGCCAGTCGTAAAACTAACCACCGGAATATTGGCTTTCGATTCCCACCTGCGAGTTATTTACAATCCTGTTTTTACAATTTAGTCTATATTTCTAACTTCTTCCTCCAGATTACATTTAAGTAACGAAATTCCAAATATTTCTTTTAAATTATCAGCTTATATGTGTACACATTATTTGTAAGCCCAAGGTGATATATTGTCTAGTCTTGCTGCTTTTTTTGGGGTCAGTATTCACCAGTAATTTTTAATTCTATATTTTTTTTTTCAGTGGCTAGCAGTTCCAATGGTTACTAAATGTTGGTGACAGTAGTACCTATTAGTTATAAGTATGACCATGATTTTTAAAGGGGTGGAAGGGTAATCCAGAGAAAGGCTTCGGTCAGATGACCAAAAGCTCCAGTTGCTGGTCAAATGACTAAGACCCTCGTCAGGAAACACTTGGTCCTGTTTCCTGACGAACCTTACCTACCTAACCCTACCAACCTAAGTTGCTGAGAGTCCCTGCTAGTGTCACTTATTATTATTATTATAATCAAGGGGGAAGCGCTAAACCCGGAGGATTATACAGCGCCTGGGGGGGGGGATATGTGGAAGGCATTCAGGCTTAATTCGGGGAACTGGAGCACAAATCCAATTCCCTAAATCAAGAGCCCCTCAGCAACATCAAGGAACCTTCCTTGAGGGGTGCTAGTGTCACAACACTCCGCAACTTCTCATTCAATATCTTCCACATTTTCCCATTTAATTTAGAAATTTTCTCCTGTGTTATGTTCCTACACTTGGACCTTCTCAGTTTCCTGTGATATTATTTTCTATTTTTTTTATTACATTCATTTCCGGCTTCTGTGATTTGTTTTACATTAAAAAGAAGCGCTATACCCGCATGGCTCACCTGAGTCGCTGCTTAGGAAGGTAATATAAAGGATCCAAGATTTTTATGTTTTTTTCACAACTCGCTGTTCAATTATTCTTTTTTTATTTTGTTTTTATTGAGTCGACTGATTCCATTTTCATGTTAAAATGTTTTATTTGTTTATATGATATATTCTCATCACTATAACATGTTCCATCCTGTTTCACTGTGCTCGTGCTGATCACAGCTAGTAACATGTTACAACTGTTATAGCAGCGGATGTTATAGCAGCGGATGTTATAGCAGCGGATGTTATAGCAGCGGATGTTATAGCAGCGGATGTTATAGCAGCGGATGTTATAGCAGCAGGTGTTATAGCAACAGGTGTTATAGCAACAGGTGTTATAGCAACAGGTGTTATAGCAACAGGTGTTATAGCAACAGGTGTTATAGCAACACGTGTTATAGCAACACGTGTTATAGCAACACGTGTTATAGCAACAGGTGTTATAGCAACAGGTGTTATAGCAACACGTGTTATAGCAACACGTGTTATAGCAACACGTGTTATAGCAACACGTGTTATAGCAACACGTGTTATAGCAACACGTGTTATAGCAACATCTGATATAACATGTTATAGCAACGTATGTTATATGTAAAGTAAAAGGACACAATTGTAACTAATGTGACATTTTATTGTGGCAACGTTTCGCTCTCAAGGAGCTTTATCAAGCTGTTACAAACAGTACATGGACAGAGGGTATATATAGGCTCAGAGTGAGATGCAATACTAGTGGTAGTAGTAGTAGTCACATAAGTTGTAGTAGTAATACAATATGGTAGAGCAATTAACTCGTACATGAGTAAAAGGATATAAAAGTTATTACTTGGGTAACATAAAAATAGGTTAGACAAATATAGACTGGATAGAGGCAGCCTGTTTCAGTGTTATAGCAACATATGTTATGTTGCTATAACACGTTGCTATAACATATGTTGCTATAACATATGTTGCTATAACATATGTTGCTATAACAAATGCTGCTATAACATATGTTGCTATAACATGTTTCTATAACATAAGTTATAGCAACATATTATAGCAACATATGCTATAGCAACATATGTTATAGCAACACATATTATAGCAACATATTATAGCAAGATATGTTACAGCAACATGTTATAGCAACATATGTCATAGCGACATGTTATAGCAACATATGTCATAGCGACATGTTATAGCAACATATGTTATAGCAACATGATATAGCAACATATAGCAACATGTTATAAAATATTCTTGCCACGTGGATTGTTAATTTCTATTTTATAGTTTTTAATTTTTAATATTTCTAGATGTAATAATCTCGGTGTTTCCATCTCGCACAGTTCATCATAGCTTAAGGCTGTATTATGGTGCTATTTAATATTTATGAATTATTTTAATGCTGAATCATTCTTGTATTTGTTAATAATGTTATTTAATGTGTGGATGTTGTAGGGTGACGGAGGTGCTCCACTGGTGTGCAGGCCTGAAGGTGGAGGCTGGACAGTAGTAGGTCTGGTAGCCTGGGGTATCGGCTGTGCTAGTAGTGAGGTGCCAGGTGTCTATGTCAGTGTTCCTGCCTTTGCTAACTTCATCCGTCAACATGTAAGGTAAGATACTTACCTTGCCCTAAGTTTTGTTTGGCTGTAGTGTGAAATAGCAGTTTGTATGGAAAGACGTGAAAAACATTACTAACATTAACTACATGGAAGAGGTTGTCAAAATATCTTGTGTTGGCAATTTCACTTCTGTTTTTTTACCAATGTGAGAGTGAAATATAATATATACATAACTTTTCTCTTGTAGAGACTAAAACGCGGTGACGACCCTGGCAGTGACTACTGGCGTCTGACTACCTTGGCAGTGACTACCAGCGTCTGAATACCCTGGCAGTGACTACTACCGTCTGATTACCCTGGCAGTGACTACTAGCGTCTGACTACCCTGGCAGTGACTACTAGCGTCTGATTACCCTGGCAGTGACTACTAGCGTCTGACTACCCTGGCAGTGACTACTAGCGTCTGACTACCCTGGCAGTGACTACTAGCGTCTGACTACCCTGGCAGTGACTACTAACGTCTGATTACCCTGGCAGTGACTACCAGCGTCTGACTACCCTGGCAGTGACTACTACCGTCTGATTACCCTGGCAGTGACTACTAGCGTTTTGACTACCCTGGCAGTGACTACTGGCGTCTGACTACCCTGGCAGTGACTACAGGCGTCTGACTACTCTGGGAGTGACTACTGGCGTCTGACTACCTTGGCAGTGACTACCAGCGTCTGACTACCCTGGCAGTGACTACTACCGTCTGATTACCCTGGCAGTGACTACTATCGTCTGACTACCCTGGCAGTGACTACTGGCGTCTGACTACCCTGGCAGTGACTACTGGCGTCTGACTACCCTGGCAGTGACTACTGGCGTCTGACTACCCTGGCAGTGACTACTGGCGGTCTGACTACCCTGGCAGTGACTACTGGCGTCTGACTACCCTGGCAGTGACTACTGGCGTCTGACTACCCTGGCAGTGACTACTGGCGTCTGACTACCCTGGGATGCAGCCTCGTCCACCAACCATTCTCGTCAGTCTTCATGTTAGGCTTCCTAAATTTATATAATTTTACTTAATATCAATAAAAACCATTAATTTCGTGATGTTCAGACCTTTGTGGAATTTGTGTAGCAAACATTTTATACAAGTCTTATTTATCAAAACAATTGTTGCTTTGTAGCCAAAACCGCAAATTTTCCCTACAAAGTCGGTGATCATCGTACACTTGCTGGATTACTGAGTCACTCAACACTCACTACAGAATGATCATGTAAGGTCTTGGAGTGAACACTGGGAATACAAACTTTTTTTGTAACTACGTTGCACAATTAACAACAGTTGTTGTTTAATAGTGTATAAATAAAATTGTCTCTACATCTGGGTTTTTTCCTTACAACTCTTGAAGAGCGATTATCTATTTCATTTTTTTAGAAATTCAAAAGCAGAGCTAATATTGAGATTCTGAGCTTAAATATCATGGTTCCATCTGCTGCTCTGTGCCTCAGGTTCTGTGCTACCAGGACGTGAATGATAGCAAATGGTTCCATAATAACTGCTGTAGCGGTAGAGCCACTTCACCCAGCCAGGCTTTATGAGGTACTGGCACTGTGACAAGAACAGAGTGGTCATGGATGAACTCGAAGTAGCTGAAACACAGTGCTTCCTATTTACTCTTTAGTGTTGCAACTGGTGAGGAAGGTATTCCCCTCGTCTCAAGCTTTTGGGTATTTTTTCGCAGTTGGATTTCATCGTCGTCCTCAAGGTCTGGCGCACCCTCCCAATATTACCTTGAGACTGGGGAAAATAAACAGCTAACAAAGTAAAGAAAATACCAAAATGTGATAACCCTTCGTGGGAAACTTGAGAAGCAAAGTTAGTAAATTGTTCTGAATGTATCTCCTTAAAAAAAAAATCCAGTATTGGGCACCTGCTTAGGCGAGATGGGACATACACAGATGACATACAAGAAATGAGTGAGATACTCAAGTCTCAGTATGACTCAGTGTCCAGCGAGCCGCTGCCCAGACTAAGGGTCGACAATCTAAATGAATCTCTATGAACGAGCCCAAAATTTGGTCATTTCAAAAATCTCGGATATTATCCTAACACCACAAGACTTTGAATAGGCAATAAATGACATGCCCATGCACTCTGCCCCAGGGGTTAGTACTCCGTGTTCATCAAGACTTGCAAGACGCCCCTGCCACGTGAATCCAGCATTCTAGGGAGACGGAGCAAGAACACAGGGGTCATCCTACACTCACTAAAATCAACAGACATAGCCCCACTCTACAAAGGTGGCAGTAAAGCATTTGCAAAGAACTACAGACCGATAGCACTAACATCCCATATCATAAAAACCATTCAAAGGGTTCTAAGAAGCAAGATCGCTATCCACCTAGATACTCATCAGTTACACAACCCAGGGAAACACGGGTTTAGAGCAGGTCTCTCCTGCCTGTCCCAGCTACTGGATCACTATGACAAGGTCCTGGATGCTGTAGAGGATAAACTGAATACAGATGTAAAATACATAGACTTTGCAAAAGCTTTCGATAAGTGTGACCATGGAGAAATAGCGCACAAAATGCGTGATAAAGGAAAAACAAAAAAAGTTGGTAGATGGATCTATAACTTCCTGATAAACAGAACACAAAGAATAATAGTAAACAGAATAAAGTCTGCGGCAGCTACGGTGAAAAGCTCTGTTCCACAAGGCACAGTACTCGCTCCCATTCTATTCCTCATCCTCATATCTGACATAGACAGATATGTAAGCCATAGCTCCGTGTCTTCCTTTGCGGATGACACCCGGTTTGCCATGACAGTGACCTCCATCGAAGAGACTGCGAGACTCCAAGCGGATATCAACCAAATCTTCGAATGGTCCACTCAAAACAATGTGGAGTTCAATGAAGAGAAATTTCATTGAACTTTTGAATAATAAGGACGCCAAGCCCATGATTCTCTTCAAATCGCTTGTGCTCTCTAGGCTGGAATATTGCTGTATGCTAACTACCCCCTTCAAGGCTGGCGAAATTACTGACCTGGAGAGTATACAAAGAACTTTCATGGCACACATAAGTATGATAAGGCACCTAAATTACTAGGAACGGTTGAAGGCCCTTGATCTGTATTCCCTGGAACGCAGGGAAATCCTAGAGGGATTAGTACCAAACTTCCACACGAAAATCACTCCCTTCAGATATTTGGGAGTGGACGTGTCAGCAGATGGGTCTATGAAAGATGATGTGATTCATAGAATTGACAAGAGGAAAAAGAACTTTATCCAGGAAAGCAGAGAGGAATGTATGAGAGCATATTTATACCAATGCTCTTGTATGGGTATGCAGGATGGGTGGTGAATGTTGCAACAAGGAGAAGGCTGGAGGCAGTGGATATGTCATGTCTGAGGGCAATGTGTGGTGTGAATATAATACAGAGAATCCTAAGTTTGGAGATTAGGAGGTGTGAGATTACCAAAACTTTTACTAGGAGGGAATATTGAGATTTTCTGGACATGTGGAGAGGATGGAACGAAATAGAATGACCTCGAGTGTATAAATTTGTAGTGGAGGGAAGGCGGGGTAGGGGCCGGCCTAGGAAAGGTTGGAGGGAGAGAATAAAGGAGGTTTAGTGTGCAAGGGGCTTGGACTTCCAGCAAGCATACGTGAACGTGTTAGATAGGAGCAAATAGGGACAAATAGTTTTTAGGACTTGACGTGCTGTTGGAGTGTAAGCAAGGTAACATTTATGAAGTGATTCAGGGAAACCGGCAGGTTGGACTTGAATCCTGGAGATGAAAAGTACAGTGCCGGCGCTCTGAAGGAAGGGTGTTAATGCTGCAGATCTATATCTGTAGTGTAAGCATTCCTCTGGCAAGACAGTGATGGAATGAATGATGATGAAAGTTTTTCTTTTTTGGGCCACTCTGCCTTGGTGGGTGTGGCATGCAAAGAGTACGTAACCTTTATTCGGCGCATGTACACACCTTCATTTACAGGCTATCTCCCCCAACCAGTGAACCAGGTTGCTAAGAGTTGATGATGGGGCCCCGTCGTTCAACTAGTGACCAGGTTCTAGCCAATAAGAAGATGGTTTTTTCAATCGCAGAGGTTATGTGGGTACCGCTCTCCTGTCTGCCCTTGTCATTCCCATTCTAGAGCTGGTTGAAGCACGGTCTGCTATCTTGTGGCTTCTATTTCTGCTTTGCTTACCGTGGAGTGCACTATACTTATCACTGTACATAGTGTACATATTGCTGTTCTAAATTGGTGAAGGATAATATAAGTCTAAACTTTTTCTACTGTGTTTATTTGCTCCCATTACACCCGGGGTAACAGGCCATTTGGAATCCTGGGTTGTAATAGTGGGAGACGGCTGATGTGTTAATAAAATAAATAAAAATAGTACTTTAACCTTGATTGATGGTGGTTAGTACCTTAGTCTTGATTGATGGTGGTTAGTACCTTAGCCTTGATTGATTGTGGCTAGTACCTTAGTTTTGATTGATGCTGGTTAGTACCTTAATCTTGATTGACGGTGGTTAGTACCATAGTCTTGGTTGATGGTGGTTGTACCTCAGTCTTGATTGATAGTGGTTAGTACCTTAGTCTTGATTGATGGTGGTTAGTACCTTACCATGGTTTAAAGAGTGACCACCTTTAGTCAAGGCTAAGGAAGCGAGTATCTGCCAGTACACAGGGATTGAACACCCAAAACCTGCCCCTCCACTTCCACTGTCTCCAGTATTATAATCAACTTTCTGTTGGCTTGAAGGAGCCTGTCGTGTGGGCCAAGTGTTGCATGTGTCTCAGTCATTAAACGAACACAGTTTTAGTGGATATTCTTGTGGGAGCTTAGACACACCAGTCACTGCAGCAGTGACCATCATGATGACTACACTGACACCAGTCACTGCAGCAGTGACCATCATGATGGCTACACTGGCACCAGTCACTGCAGCAGTGACATCATGATGGCTACACTGACACCACTGTAGCAGTGACCATGATGGTTACACTGACACCAGTCACTGCAGCAGTGACCATCATGATGGTTACAGTGACACCAGTCACTGCAGCAGTGACCTTCTTGATGGCTACACTGACAGCAGTCACTGCATCAGCGGACATCATGAATTTTACACTGACATCAGTCACTGCAGCAGTGACCATGATGGTCACACTGACACCAGTCACTGCAGCAGTGACCATTATGATGGTTACACTTACACCAGTCACTGCAGCAGTGACCATCATGATGGCTACACTTACACCAGTCACTGCAGCAGTGATCATCATGATGGTTACACTGACACCACTCACTGCAGCAGTGATCATCATGATGGTTACACTGACACCAGTCACTGCAGCAGTGACCATCATGATGGCTACACTGACACCAGTCACTGCAGCAGTGATCATCATGATGGCTACACTGACACCACTCACTGCAGCAGTGATCATCATGATGGCTACACTGACACCAGTCACTGCAGCAGTGACCATCATGATGGCTACACTGACACCAGTCACTGCAGCAGTGATCATCATGATGGTTACATTGACACCAGTCACTGCAGCAGTGATCATCATGATGGCTACACTGATACCAGTCACTGCAGCAGTGACCATGATGGTCACACTGACACCAGTCACTGCAGCAGTGACCATCATGATTATTACATTGACACCAGTCACTGCAGCAGTGACCATCATGATTATTACATTGACACCAGTTACTACAGCAGTGACCATCATGATGGTTACACTGACACCAGTCACTGCAGCAGTGACCATTATGATGGCTACACTGAAACCAGTCAATGCAGCAGTGATCATCGTGATGGTTACACTGACACCAGTCGCTGCAGCAGTGATCAAGGTGGTTACACTGATACCACTCACTGCAGCAGTGATCTTCATGAATTTTACACTGACACCAGTCACTGCAGCAGTGACCATGATAGTCACACTGACACCAGTCACTGCAGCATTGACCATCATGGTTATACTGACAGTCACTGCAGCAGTGACCATCATGGTTACGCTGACACCAGTCACTGCAGCAGTGACCATCATGGTTACACTGACACCAGTCACTGCAGCAGTGACCATCATGGTTACACTGACACCAGTGTAGACAGCCTGTACTGTCTGCACAGACAGCCCATGCTGTCTGCCAGCTTAGTTCATATTTCGCGCCACTCAGGTGCTGCCCTCTGTAGCCAGGCCTCTAGGTAGGCACGCCAGCCTGCCGGCCCATGCCTCTCCCTCACTCCTAGGCCGACCGACTTGACAGACACAAGTGCTCCCCCTCCACGGACTGGCTTGCGGTCACTCCCTCACACTGCCCGTTGTGTACTCACTCCTAC